AATTTTATAATAAATGTATAATAAAAGTAAGGAAATTAAAAAAACATTCATAAGTAACTAAACGCAGTTCGCCAAAAAGAAAAACTGTAAAGATGCAAGATACTTTAGGCGAACTATCGTCAGATTCAACGTCTTAATAAATATTCTTATTATTTATAGGATTATAATATAACAACCTATATATGTTATATATGATTCCTACATATTTTTTGTCATAAAACTGAATTACAAGTTTACTTTTACTTTAAATTTACGTTTCATGATGAAAAATTTGACAAAGTATCGACCTTTTGCATAAAATTGTTAATAACAAAAAGAAACTGACCGTTTTCCAACTTACTCGTAACCAAGAAATTTCCTTTTAGCGCATCAAAAAAACCGTGAAGAAAAAACCGTAAGAAAACTGAAGATATCGAACCTAAAATTTTACATTCAGATGTCACCCGCGCCCGGACTAAATTTTTTTCGGAGGAGCTTCGGTATTCGAAGCTTCGAATCTTCGATTCTTTCAAACTTTGAATATTTTTGTACGAAGCTTCGAAGCTTCGAATCACTCAATCTTCGAATATGAGTAACAGCCCTATTAACGAACCGTTTTTATCGAGCCTGTTGTTCGCTTCGGTGCGAGGTGCATCTCTCGGGGTATAAAGGTCGGTGTCACAGGGCGCCGAGGGTGAGAAGAACGCGCCACGGGACTGCAATTCCGACGTTCGCGAGTGTCACGAGTGGCAGGCTTAATTTGGCGGGAGCGCGCTCGCGGGTGTTCCGCGTCACGCTTTCGATCCGCCCGGCGACGGAAACGCCGGAATCAGGCCGGAATTACACCGGATGGCTAGCGTGCGCGCGCACATTTCATGCGACAAAATCGCGTAAATATCACGAGACTCGTCGTTGTAGCGGAGCCGGGTGTCCGCTTTCGCGACGCTTTCGCAAATCGCGCGCCGCTCGTATTTAACGAAAATGGCTTTATTCGCGTCGATTGCGCCGTTTAATACTCTTCCGCTCGGCAATACCCGTGGACAGGGGTTTCGCTCTCCAATGATATTTGCAGGGATTATCTTTTCATTCGGTTAAATCGATGTAATTTTATCGCAATCAAAGCTGCTTGCAGCAACTAAAAAGAAATACATTGTTATCTTTTAATATGGGATCAATATGGGCATGTTGTAATTCTTTTTCCGACCCCCTCCCCCTCTCCCGCCCCATGCCGCCGCCCGAATATTTCAATCAAAGCTCATAACTAAGTTTTTGAAAAAGGCCGAAAAAGAACTGATTCCGACGGAGTTTTAACAAAAACCGATCGTAACCGATACCTCTGACAGGAATTAGTAAAACCGGTGATCTATCGATGTAAATCGATTGTTCTCTAAATTAGCAATTATTGACGTAACTGGATAACAAATTCGCATTTTGTTTTCGTTCTCTCGACGCATCCTCGATGGATATACATTTTGATGTCACACACTTTGAACAGCAGCGCGCGCTTATGCGATGTCAAGTGTGGTGACACGCAATTTGGCAATTCGTCACTCGAAAATGGAAATGATCGTCGAGATATCTCCTCGACAAACGTTTTTAACAGCGGCGCTTGCGAAAGCGATTAATCTCGAAACGTCTCGGACGTCACGGCGGCACCTAATTTTACCGTCATTTAGACACTCTTAACTGCGGAATATTAAGATTAATCTTTATGCGGGCGGTCGAATTATCGCAATTTACCCAGAGTCCCGACGTTAAAGGCTAAGAGTATTCAAATTCACATTTCTCTTCGTTATGCTCTGCTCTCGATGCAATGGATCTCCCCGACTTCCTTTACTCGCAACACAGGGAAGACGAGTTGTTAAAACTTTGTTATAAATTTCAAAGTTAGCGAAAGCGGCAAGACGCGATAGGATGATGATGGCGTCGGACGAAAAGAACGAAGGCGCGCAACCGCTTTCCATCGGGAAGAAGCTCTAATATTTGCTAATTATAAGGAGGAAATAAAAATTATTCCCTTGATTTATTCGCAACATATACACACCCACCAGCCGCGCGCCGCCTTGCTCGGAACGAACAGAAAGACGCAACCTGTGGAATAATAAGAATATCGCGAACGGACTGAAGCGCGGTACTCGTGGATCGCTAGTGACAGCTCGCTGAAAGTTACGAAACGAGACAGAAGCGAGGAAGGGCTGGTATGAAGTAGCATGCGATTGCGTGCAACTTTTTCGAGCGCTCATGCGCGAGCAGTCTCTTTTGTGAATTTTATTTAAAAGCTCTCACATGTACATAGCGCGCGTTCCTAAATTTGTGCTCTGCGCTGGGCAGCACATTTCGTGAATATGCGGCGTTTTCTGCGCGACGCTGACGCGCCGTTGCTAATTTGCGCATTGTTTTTTTCAGCGAGTCTGTTTATCAAAAGTTCATTAAGCCGCTTTTTTCTCTCTAAAATCTAAAGGCATTAATAATAAATGTTTCATAGCCGATACAGAATGGGCCGACTTTATTCACTGGTTTCATAAAATATACTGCCGCCATCATATTGGCTCCTACCGCTCGCGGAAATGAGCGCCTTTATGAAAGTATAAAAATCCATCGTCCCAATTGATGCCGGAGCGAGCGAGCGAGGCAATTTCGTGCTGCGTGGCGCACATTCCCTCTTTTCAAAGGAGATTGCCGAGAGACGTCGAGTGTTTCGTTAAATTAGCTTTCTTTACGAATAATTAGTCGTAAGAAGCGGCGCTACCGAGCATAAAAAAACTAAACGAGGTCTTGAGAGAGGGAAAGAGAGCAAGAGAGAGAGAGAGAGAGAGAGGCGGGGAGCAGTTAAATGTCGGTACGTGGGTCGGTAGTGCACGGCGCGCGCGCGGAAGTAACGCAAGGAGAGAACGAGAATCGTAAGTATTGCGTCCCTCAAAAGAAATCCGCGGAAATTCAGAACCGCCGTCATGTCGGTCTACATTTTTCAGGATGCCTTTCAAACGAAAATTAAGTAGGAAAAAGCTTTCTCAACTTCCCTGGGTCTTCTTTCTGGCAAATGCGTCTGGAAATTCGCGTCTTTTTGCCATCAAGAGACTTATCCCGGCGCTCTTCGCGCTGAATGAAAAATGCTTCGAAACGCGATGCCGCCGCCCCCGCGGGCTTAAATTGTTTACAAGGCCAGCCGAGATTTCCTGCGAGAACGTGGCGTGTCGAGAGAATCTTATCGACCGCGGGGCAGGGGGCAGCCCCGCTTGCCTCGACATATTCCGGCGATCTTCGCGACATTATATGCAAAGGCATGATAAGATCGTTTCGCCGAAGATGGATGGAGATAGAATTTTCATCCCTTCACGGCTGTGTTCGTTCGCTTCTTGCCGCGTTTGACGCGTACGCGAATTTACGCGAATTTACGCGATCGCCACCTTACATTTAACGCTGCCCTTCCGCTTGCACGCCTTTGCGGACGTAGATTCCTGCCGTTCTCATATCGCGCGTGCAGATCTCACGTGCTGCCGTGCGTGTTTCTTTCTCATTTCTAAGGACTTTGTGTAACACGTGTGCGCTATATATCAAAACACGGTCGACTCTCACCACGTCCATTCGGACGTGTGCTCATTCCGAGTGTAAGTCGTACGGATAAAATATCATTTATTTGCTTCGTCCACTTGCATGCGCGAGAGCGAGAGCGCGGAAGAACGCGCGTTTTGTGCGCGTGCCGTGTGCGATACCGCGCGAGATGACAGTAGTGACGTGCCAAAGATATTCGGAAATTTTGCGTGTATATCGAAACTGTTGCATATCTCCCTCAATCTTGTCATCGATCGTCGATGATTATCGTGGTGATTATCGTTGCGCGTTATCGAGAAGGATATAAACAGTGGCGCAATGACATATTAATTATTTCATTGCGCGTGAAATATATGTATATTGCAGCGCGTAATATCATAATCCGCGTAATGAAGCTTTCGGGAAAGAGCCGATAATCCCTCACTCGACTCGAAAGAATCGAAAATCCTCATATTACCGGCAAACAGGTCGCGGGCGTAGCAACACGCACGATAAATCCTACATGTCCATAATGAGAGAGAGAGAGAGAGAGAGAGAGAGAGAGAGAGAGAGAGAGAGAGAGAGAGAGAGAGATTCAGCCGGTCCGGCTTTTAGCGTGTAAATGCGCTACGCTGCTACAAAGTGGCGCATTTTCTAAAATATAACCGGCGCGAAATATCCACGTTTCCGACACCGCTGCCGTCGGAAAGCATCGAAGAGCGTGACACCCCCGCGGAGTTTTGTTCCCATTCGGGGAACTCGTCTCGACCGTAGCGAGTGCCGGTAGCCCGGGGTTACCACGTTAATAAGAGAGCTTTATCCCCATCCTACCTCTCGCACGAAGAAGTGCCCTCCTTCTCTCCACTCCGACGTTTTAATACGAACACGCCATCCGGCGCTCTCGCGACGACTCCTTCCGCGGCTTAATAGGTCGATTCGTCGATAATCCTCCCCGGTATAACGGAGTTTCAGCGAAAAACACGGCGCGCTCGTTCGAGCGGCGAGGTTTAGAGAGTTTGTGGGAGCCTAGAGAGAGAGAGAGAGAGAGAGAGAGTGAGAGAGAGTGAGAGAGAGGGGGGGAGGAGGAGTGAGAACGTCGCGTATAGATTACGCGAAAATGTGGGAGCACCGAAACGAACGCGGGGGCGCGCTTAATACACGCGGTGGATGTGTACGCTCTCGACGTCGGACGTGAGAGAGCTCGCGCGTGCGTGTGTTTGCGGTCGCATGCAGTTACCAGGGGAGTGCGGACGCGGTTCGGTGGCGGGAAAGCCGCTGGAGAACGGAGCGAGAACGGGTGAGAGCGAGTGGTGAGGCGAGCGAGGGAGGGAGGGAGGGAGTGAGGGAAATTGTCATTCGGCGGAATTGCAATTTCTCGCTGACGCGTGCTGTGCAACCTCTCCCGTGCTCGGGCTCGCGCGACGAGTAAAAGCGGACTAATGATGCGCACTAGACTTAATGCCCCGTTCCTGTTCTCATTTTCCTCAAAGGTGCGAGCTGCCTGCGAGAGGTCAGTCTGGAACTAGTTCCGGAGGTGGTGCAACGCGGCCAGGAGGTGGTTCTACGTTGCCATTATGATCTGGAGAATGCGCCGCTCTATTCGCTCAAGTGGTACCGCGGCAGGTACGAGTTCTACCGATTCTCGCCCAGCGAGGACCCGGACACGAAGGTCTTCAACATCACCGGGATTCATGTCGACGTAAGTCGCTCTCGCTCGTTGTCACTTAACAAGATTGCGCCAGGTCCCGTCGACTTTTTTTCGCTTTCATTCAGATTGGATTCCTCTCTCGCTGATGTAATGTATTTTCTATAGTCTATACTATATAATCGATGATGTTACGCGCGCGCGCGCGCGCGCGCACGTGCTGGACTCGTTATTTTTCCCTCGACGCGCAGTTTCTCCCGCGCTGCTGGAAAGGAAGTGACGCAAAGCGGGACAATCTAATTTTCTCCCTCTTTTCTTCCTTCGCGCATGCATCTACGCTTTTTTCCCCGGGAAATGTCAACTTCGAGGCGAACAGCGTGCGTCGCCGGCGTCCCTGTGTGCCAACCGTGCGAAAAAAATTAATTCGTTAAATTCTAACTGCGCTCGGTTTTTGGGCAAATACGGGCGAGTTGTCCGCGCGCGACGATAACGCGACGTAAAGACGGACGCGGATCGATGAATGGAGAGACAGAAGTATACGTAGATGCCTGAGCGAAAGTCGTATCCTTTGCAACCGCCATGCCGTGACGACGTCTCACCTAACGACGTATCTTCGCGATACCGACTACCGTTCGACTTAAAGTAGCCACAGGGAATCGTGATCTACGTGGTTTGCACCGTCGTTGCTCACTATTCCGTCAGCACTGAGCAAACGTGGACCTCATTTCCGTAACGTCGCGCAACCGCTTTACGTTCGAGACGCACAGGTAAATATTGGATAGCGTTTAAAGAGCTCGGGGAGAAATTTCATATTTCAATGTACATACGCCACAGTAGCGACTACTTTTAATCCTATCAATTTGCGCATCCCTGCCTGATATCGATGCCGTAAAAGCTTCGCAGAAAACGATTTTCATCGTACTTGAGGAAACCCGAAAGATATTCCAGGGTATTATGTTAGATGTTACTTTATCCCCTGAATGCAAGTAGAACCCGGAATTATAAGAATCGATCTGAAACTTATCGTAAAACGCATCATGTGTTATATCCATATCTCTTTTTCCTTAATCGGTTTTATCTATTTGTAAAAATAATTCGATTTTAACGAACACGGTGGAAGATGGATTTGTTCAACACTTTTTGTCATAACATTCCGCGTATAATATAACACCGTATAATTATATCATGAGAGTTAACTCCATTTTCAAACATTATTCTGTATAAATTGTAGTACAAAAATCCTTCCTTAAACATATAGAGCACGCTTATAAATTTTTAAATGTTTAACGGCTTTTATTAAATAGAAAGTTCTACATCCATTTGAATATAATTCTTTGTAGCAAGTAAAAATCGTAATATGAAACGTTTTTCAACGATGAGCATGAATAGAATTCACTAATGCGAATATTTCAATAAAGCGAGCGAATTCCAAATGACGGCAGATATTTGCTGTTTAATGAGCGTTAATAAAATCTAGAACGAACCATTTCTGCACAGATAATAATATATTGGCGTATAATTATCGGGGAGTGAAAATTGAAAGTGGATAAAAGCAATAATTACATATGTAGGTAGCGCGGCGAAATAAAATAACTCAATCCAAGTGACGGCAATGCGTATAATTCGTTATTAACATAAACATGAATATTTATTAGAAGCAAGTATTTATGATAATTATATTTCTTGTTACTTTCCCCTCCCCCCCCCTCCCAAGTACCATAATTCACGCATGAACAGAATACCATGCTCGCGTACTTTTTTTCTTCACATTGAAATTAACACTCTCTAGGGTCTTGATGTAAGGCTGAAAAGACTCGAATAACTGGCCGAGACTTCAACTCGAACGAACGAAACCGGCGCACAATACATATTTTCCAGACATAGATTTGAGCGCAGCGGTACTCCCCAATCGCGTGCTCGGTCAGCGTACTCGAAAAATCAGCCGCGTCGTTTGTATAACACTCCAATAAATCTCTCCCCCCTGTTTTTTTCCCTCGCGGCTTTGCTCGCTATATGATACGACTGTATATAATAATCCTATCCCTTTATACACATCGAGCACTCGCGTCGTTAAATAAAAAAGAATAAAAGCGGGATACAGAGCTCCGCCGCGCCGCCGGGGCGGGGGTGGGGGGGGGGGAACGGCCGCGGTGGTGTAGCGCGCACCAACACCGCGGGGTATTTCGTAACTGGGACACCCCTATATAAGCCGACGCTATGAAGCTACCCGCTATTCTTTCGACAGAAAGCCGGCGGCGCGGCGGCAACGAATCGACGGGCTCGGGCGAACAACGAGATATGTGGTTTTACCGTATCACCGTAACGCAAACCGCAACGTGCCGGCCCCCTCCCCCTCCCTCTCCCCCCCTCCCACCTAGTGCCTCGTTAACAGCACCCTTGACCGCTGTAATCGCCGTAAAACAGTGCCGCGCTCGGGCGCTTTTATCATCGCTCCAACATTTCCGTGAACTGTTACGCGCGTCGGGCACGTCGGTGGTTTCGGGGGGAGGGTGGCGTCGCGACCGCCAATCGAGGCCGCGTTGCGCCGTGCCGCGCCTGCACGCGCGCTGCACCAAAAACAAGCCCCTTCGGTCCCCGTTGTTTCGGTACAGCCGAATGAACGACCTGACAAACCGTGACAACGCCCTGCTCGCGCGCGTGCTCGCGCGCGTCCCGTTTACGTTTATCGTTTCGGAACACGGTCGGTCGGTGCGCGGCCGTTCTCCGGTGACGAACAGGAAGTAATGCACCCCCTCGAGCGCGCGACTATGGCGCGGTGCGCGGGGCTGCGCCCGCGAGAGAGCGGAGCATCGCTTTCGAAAAATACGTTCGCGCTCGTCCGAGCGACATGCCCGACGCGTTGCCCCCGGGGAACGGAGTGGACAGAGGGGGTTCGGGGAAAATTTGGGGAAAAATTGTTTTGTTACTTTGTCGTTTATCGGGGCGATATTTGATTTACCGTGGTGTGCGCGCGTTTCAGCCACACCGACCCGGCCCCGGCCCGGATCTGCGCGTTTCGGAAATATGTTTTGTCGGGTTTTGATGCATGCCTTGTGTTTTCAAGTCGTTAATATCGAAACAATCCGCACGCGTAACGCGGCCATACCGGCCGCCCGCGCGACGCCGCGCTACCACCACCCACTCGCTGCCGATTGTATTTATTTAATAGACATTTATCGGGGATGAATCGCGTACGCGTTCGCGGCGCCGACTCTCGTCGGGGACGCGGAGGAGCGAGGAGAGAGAGAGAAGAGGAGGCAGGCGACGCGGCGGTGGGCACAGGGGAAAAATGGCTCCCGCTCCGTTGTTTTTCGTCGTAATATTTGATCATCCGTGCGATTATAGACGCAAAATTATTGCGTGTCGTGCAACGGCACTAGCGGCTAAATATGAAAACTTTATGCACAGCACAAATCTCGCGTATAGCTGATGCGCGCGCGCTCGCGCGATCCTCATCGTCGTTGTTGTTGTTGTTGCCGGGATTCCGCGCGTAGGTGGCAATTCTGCGTATATGTCGAAAGTGCGAAACATCGAGTTAACCAATTCGACTCGAGGTTTGCGGAGTCGGAATCGCGGAACGTTTATATGGGTCAACAAAGCGTCGCGTCAGGCGGATGTCGCAGCAGAGAACATTATACACCGTGCTAAAAGCGCGTTCACGATGAAATATAAGGCTCGATACCGCGAAGCGCGTCTCGGCGTGTTTAACATATTTCACCGTGTATACGCGCGCATGTATGTTTATACGCACATATGCGCGAATTGTGCTTTCGTCGTGAATCGCTTTCCGCGATTTCCGCAATCACGCGCGCACGTCTGAAAGGATAGGACCGCTCGTGGCTGTTCAAGATGATCGCGACGTTAAAGACGACGAGCGTGGGTGGGTGGGTCAGCGAACAAAGAGAAGGGAAACAGGAGGCAAGAAAAGAAAGAAGACCATGAGAGGACTATTATTCCGCGACAGTGTTGCCGAAGTCGCGATGGCATTCGCTCCTAATATCTACTTGCGATTCTCGTGCTATCCGAGCATTCGGATGTGCTCGCCGGAAAAGTACAGATACCACCAACACCCTTGCAGTGTATATCGACATTGTCGGCAGTCTGGGAGGAATTCCGACGAGTATCGGACAAGCGACGACCCAGAAAACGATCGGGAATCTGTTTGAACACGTTACCGCACGATCGGATCTCGTTCGGCACGGCGCGCGGCGACGCGGCGCGGCGGAGAACAACGACTTCGCGTTAGACTTCGCGCAGGTATCGCTGAAAAATTACCAGCGGCGGGGGCGATATGAAAATCGCGCTATCTACCACGGACGATCGGGGTAGCTCTGCGAAAACTCCAGCCGACCCCGCCGGACTAACCGACTGAATCCGCGCACGATAATCGGTTACGATTATCGCAGCTTCGGGGAAAAAGCCCAGAGGCAAACACTCTTCCGCGTCATTCTTCCGTATCACGGCGATCAGAAAACACGCCAGCGGTCTTTTTTCCACCAGAGAGCGATTACTCGCCGATACTCGCGCGTTCGCTCACGCTCGCTCGGCACTGCGCGCGCGCGTCCTTAACGCGGAGTACTCCGGTCCGGTGCATCGTCAATTTTTTTTTATGCACGCTACGCGCAGCCCCGTCCGACGGAATTGATATCTCTCTCGCTCGCTCGCCCTCCGCGCCGTTACCACCCCGGATATTGGTAACCTGCGAATGATCGATTCATACGCCAGGAACATTCGGTATCTCGCGAGGACGGGATATCTGTGTCATCGCCATTCGCGGCAGTGCGCGACAAGACGTTCTACGCGCCGGAGATTATTCCCCAGATAGCGCCGACTGAGAGAGAGAGAGAGAGAGAGAGAGTGCTACGGTTTCATATTTATTCCTCCCGTGGCGTGCCACGCCTTTTGTCCCTGCTTCTGTAAAGTCGTCGCGGCTGCTCCGCCGCCATCCACCTACCTGAGCGAGCAAGCGCGTACGAGCGTCCACATAAATCAACGAAGAAAGAGCTCGCTTGCCTTTCACGCTCCTTTTCCTCGTCAAAGAGCTCGCGAGGTTCACCCTTCCTTTTTCTCGCGCCAGCCCCATCGGCGCGCCGCGCGACGCCGTCCGCTCTCTCACTCGTGTGTTTCGTCTTTCATTATTTAAACCCGGTTAATTATGCATGCTTCGTTTTGCCGGTTTCGATTAAACCTCCTCTCTCCGTTCCGGGTCTTCCCTCCTTCCTCTCTTTTTCGGTTTCTCCACCTCACAGGCGCGCAAGCTACTTTCGCGAAGCCCTTTCCGTCTCTCGTTATCGACTTGGTTTCTCGGATGATTTTAATCGAGTGCCGGATAATTCCTGATAAGATGATCGTTTCCTTGAGTGGACCAATCATCCACCGAAAAGCGGGGAATGTTTGCGGCGACATGCTCGACGGAGAGCATCGCGTCTCGAGGAGATGCTCTTTGATTTCGCTCCCGAGGAAAATGCGACGGATAATCCACGCGACGCCAAGTTTATCTTCGCGATGACACGTGGTGACGCGGCGCGGCGCTAATAAGGCACGTACGGTAATTCCTACGTGTGTGTGTGTGTGTGTGTGTGTGTGTGTGCGCGCGTGTTTCGTCTGAAATAACGTAATCTCAAGGGATTAATCTTTCTTTGCACAGCGACTTGCACAGCGACAGAGGAATAGAAACGCACCTCGGATGTCGGATTTATCGCGGTTACCCTAGCGTTACACGCGGCCTTGTATCTCGCGCGATCGCGCGAGCTGGCGAAACTCGTCGGCCCGACGACGACGTCTTTCGACAAATTAGATCGCATGTTAAATCACGTTAGTCGTGCATGTAAATGACATTACGACTTCGCCTTCCACGCGTAACAACATAGGCCGTCTCGGCTCTGATACGTACTTCCCCTGCCCCTTCACTTCCCCTCGTCTTCTCCGTACATCTTAACACGGACGTGTGTTTCAGCGCGGCAACTCGAACAAGAGCCAGGTAACGCTCTTCAACGTCGACTTCCCTCTCTCGGGTACATTCAGCTGCGAAGTTACGGCGGACGCGCCGACCTTCTCCACGGCCTCCGGCCTAAAAAATCTCACCGTAGTAGGTAAGTACATGCTCCAGCGTATTACGCGGCATCACACAAAACTCCGCAGTATGCGCGAGACAGACGACTGACTGCGCCGTTCTCTCCCTCGTTCTCTCTCTCTCTCTCTCTCTCTCTCTCTCTCTCTCTCTCTCTCTCTCTCTCTCTCTCTCTCTCTCTCTCTCGCTCTCTATTTCTCTAACTCTCTCTCTCTCTCTCTCTCTCTCTCTCTCTCTCTCTCTCTCTCTCTCTCTCTCGCTCTCTCTATTTCTCTAACTCTCGGAGTTTACCGAAGCCACGATCACGCACGGCTGAATTAGACGAGTCTCGACAAAAGGAGAGGCTCGTTTTCATGAGGTTTTTTTTATCTTATCATTGAATATGTATGCAGTGGCCACAGTAGCGGAGCGAGAAGCGGAGCTCGATTGTGTGGCTAGCGGGACGCTCGCTCGCAAGCTCAGGTAAATTTTCTCTGCGGAATATCAGAATGACAAACACAGTTTCCGCGACGAGCAATTAAAAGTTTGGTTCATATCGTTACAATTGCCGCTTGGATTACCATCCTCGGTAATATTTTGAAAGAATTTCTGATCCGCGCGCGTTCGAAACTCGTCGCTAGCGAAATCGGGTCAGTGATTTTTTTTTTATTTTTTTTTCAATCGAAATGGCGTTTCGTCCGGAAGCTTTGTTCCCGCTGTTATTCGAATGATTATTTGGTTCCGGCAATAATGTGTGGTAATTAAAACCAGCATAAATATTTGCGCGTATTTTCTTTTCAACGATGCACTTTACTTTTTTTCCTTTTTTTTTTCTTTCAAGCGAATTGGATATTTGTAGGAACGTTTTGTTTATTCAGTTTGCGTTAAAAAGGGGTTCAGCACGATTTCATTATGTACATTTTCCTCATTTGTAGAAAGAAATGAAGTGAGTTGAATCATAATTAATAATGTTAGTTTGAATTTACCAATTGCAATATGCGACTGCCGCCATTATTTATCGTCACTTCTGACAATGCAAACTGAAACACGCGGTGCTTCAATTTTGAAAACCTGGCCTCATTATACGAAACAGATTTCATCGATCGAATCATTAATACATCTGTCAGATTAACAACAGGTGAAACAATCTGATAAAATCGATACCTGCCATTAGTAGTGTTTATTATTATCACCGTCCGATTCCTCCTCTTGTGTAGATGAAAAGCGAAGAAGATAAAACGCATAATTAACGAACACTACAACAACAGTTTAACGTAATACGATGTTCGTGATAAAGTTGCAGATATACACCTACATAAACGCAACATGCATCGGTTGTTGGAATCTCGCATTACCTCCGGAGTATCAGTTGCAAAGACCGTATCAATGCAATTTGCTCGCCTTGACATTATTTGCGCTAATTATCTCATCGCCACGATGCGCATTTGCGCGATGCAGCGTCGTAAGTCGAAGCACCCAGAGAGAGCTGTGCACGTCTCCGCGGCAAAGCACACAGCTGGTGCGGAAAGTTCCCCTGGCATCGTTATTAACTCTGTCGCGTTTGATCCGAGCATTGAATCCGATCCGTGTCCGTCGCCCCTCGTCGTTGAATTGATATCAGCTTGTCGTGCGTGTTCACTCTCGATATACGCTATATGTATACGCCCGGTATCTCATTTTGGTTTCGCGTGTATACGTGCGCCGTGTGCTGAAATTTATGACTTCCCGTACAATTTCCGATCGCTCGGAATTTCACTAGCGCTTTTTCTCCAACGCGCGCACTCTCGGTTTTCCCATTCACCGGCGGCTGGATCAAAGAGCATCATGTAAATGCTACTCGCCATTTAGGCATTCGCCAAGAATATCACCGGGCAAATTTATTTACATGAAATTACACGTGCTTCGTGTGTTTCAAGCGCTCAGTTTGATGACAACGAGGCGACCTGCACTTGGCGAAATTCCAGCCGCGAGATTCATGCGCGCACACACGCACACACACACACACACACACACACACACACACACACACACCCACACACACACACACACACACACACACACACACACACACACACACACACACACACACACACACACACACACCCAAGTACGTTGCGCTGAATTAGAAGTTGAATCGTTCGTTAACGCAATTAGTTTATCAACCCGTCTCGTCAGCGAATATAATTTATCGCGCGAAATTTTAAGTGAAACTTGTGTAATTAAAAGTACGTCATATTTTACACTCGGCTGATAATATCCTGCGATAATTGCATCACGAACAAACTCGATAGAATGAGTCGAGTCATATGCTCAAGATTTCGTTAATTGAATATCTCATTGCGTATGTTAATTCATTTGTCTGTTGCCTTGAAATTTTTCAGGTTTTTTGTATCTTCGCGAGCGATAAATTTCGGAAAAGCGACGCGCCCGTTTGCAGATTAGCCGTCTCTGATTCTCCGTTCGCTGCGATAAATCTTTTCGTTCGTTATCTTTCCATTATTTTTTTAAACGTTTAGACTGTCATTGCGGTCGAAAATAAGAGAGAGTATGCGATAGAGAGAGAGAGAGAGAGAGAGAGAGAGAGAGAGAGAGAGACCAGCCAGTAGGATATCCGATTAGATTTACGAGCACCAAGAGATTTCCACTCTTTGGCGTCTGCTGCCGCTATCGAATGTAAGGGACTCGCGATTTATTCGAGGACGAGAGATAGTAATTTCGCCATACATCTATCTATCCGCCGAGCTTTTTAAATCTGTCCGCTATGCAAGATATTAACGCATTGTCGACGCTGTCGATACCACCGACAGTACATTGTTAATCATAAACCCTACTTAATTTTATTATTTCACAGCAACGAGATCTTAAAAAATCAAGTCAACAACATGTAACTGTCATTCGAGTATATTTTCGTTCTTTCCGATTGTGAATTTAAATTGAGTTGAGTTGATACGGGGAAGCTTCGTCGTATGTTTGTCAGATAAAATAAGAAACAAAACTATTCAATTTCGAGGAATTAATAATTCCCACTTTTAACAAAATTGTTATTTTAAAAATGGATAACACCGACATGTTTCTTTTAATATGTTTAATGCCGATTCCCTGCTCTCTCCTTTTAATACTCGAATATCCTTTTAATACTCGAATATCCGATGAGAAAACAATAGTAAAATAACGAATCTTTTGCACCAACTTTTGATGAATCCTACGAATCTGTGTGTGACATAAATACCAATGCAAAAAGTTAAAACGAGTAAGTGATGATGCTGCGAGTCACGTAGGGTTGCAATTTGCGCGAGGACGAAGATCGAAACTCGGGGTGCACGATCGAAGCCTCTTGCATACTTTCGAAACACGCCTCTGCGCCTTTGTACTGTCGCGTATGAGAGTAAAACTCAACGGGCGAAACGTGTTTCCTCGTCGAATTCTTTACAGCCTGCTGTGCCTGTGCGTGATGCTGCTGTTGCTGTTGCTGCTGCTGCTGCTGCTGCATCGCTTACCGCGGCGCCTTACTCGAATGACATTGCACATCCCGAGCATTTGTATAGAAACGGTCGGAATCGAACTATGATGTTGCAGATTTTGCAGAATTTCTAGCTCACTGATTTAATCAACGAACCGACTGAACGTGAACGCGAACACGCGAAATAACCACCGCAGACGAAAATGATACAATTATGCTTTTGTTCACGTTCAAGTAGTGAAGATCAATTTTGGATTGACCGGAGAGTCAGTCGAGTTACCCGAAAGTTTCCTCGGATTATTCTGGTTATTTTAATTCTTCTCCCGAAATATTCGCGAAATTTGTACGTAACGCACCGATGAAAAGCGCGCCCCGTCTGAGATAATAATATACGCGCTGGGAAGCGAGCAAAAGAGTGCTCTTTATTGCAAATTACCGTTTCATCAGTGTGCGTGCCCCATTTTGTACAACGCGGAAGAAGAACTCTTTGGCGCTTTTACGTGTGTTTTTATACGACGCGCGTGCTTATTTCTGCTCTTTTTTTACAATAGGCAGATTTAAAAAAGTACGTTTATAATTTTCAGCTTTTTCGCGATATAACGAGATAATGTGTTAATTATAAAATTCTATTACACCGCAGTTTATTTGATTTGCAATCAGATCCATACGTGTTATATATTTTGTGCGCGTTTTATCGTACTCGCTCACATAGATTCCCTATTAATTTTATTTCTTTTTCTCTAGGAAATATGAGATTTTTGGAAGACCTTTGAAAATTTTCGGAGAGACCCCTTGTACATTTTTTGTACGATTGCTGTATATCTCGGCGATATCGCGATGGAATCAGATAGCGAAATTGACATATTTTTTCTCGTTCCTTACGGGCGTGTTGGGAGTTCGAGTGGAAAGCTATTTGAATAGAATCCATATTTCGAAATTACGAAACCCACGTGTCGCGACGCTATTCTTGGAATGCGCCCCATCGTCCCCGGGAAAAAGGAAGGGAGTTTATTTCGCGACTCTCTCTATCGGGAAAATTCGACGAATGGTCTCTGTGCAGCGTCTTAAAGCGCGCGTGAGCATGATTCCGCGTGGGGCAGTCGGGGAAAAATGCTTGAATATCAGAAATTCTCTTTTTCCTCGCTCGTTTCGCGACTTTGTTGCGTCCTTCGCGCGGAAACGGAAGCAATTCGCCGAGTCGGCACGATACACGGGGCACGTTGGAATTAAAAGTGACATCTCCGGCTGTTCAACGGCGGCGTGTTCGACGAACGTGCAACGTGCGGCTCGTGCCGCGCCGACTGCTTGTTCCTGAGAAGAGAATCACGTGAATTTACGATACATAACGACAGTGCGCGGCCACGTACCGCGGCACGTCTCGTCCGTGGCGTCCCTTGGCAGAGTTGTGTGTAGTAATGGCGAAGTCGCATAACTCGTGAACGGCATTACTGGATTACCCAACTCTATACCGCGAGCATTGCACCGTTAACGCGTACACGGCCATCGGCGGTACACTCCATCATTTCATTATTTTATGTCCGACGAGCTGTGCTGCTTTTTCTAGAAAGCATTCCATCAGCAAA